AAACCAACTCCCAAAGTGTTAACCTCCTAAACTTAATCTCAGAGTCTTAAAGATGTTTTTTTCAGGAAGCAGGAAGACCCATTTGGAAGAGATAAAATTAGCTGTAACCAGCTCTGACTACCAACCTTGAGACTGTGACCACGAGATGACCAACTGATGAACTTTAATGTCAGAAGGCCAAACCTTCCCTTCCACTTATAATGCCAACTCTGCCATTTTTTGTATATGCGACCCATGAAGAGACATGAGAAACCTTTAGAGCCTTACCTGAATAATAGGATGGTTTGGAAGGGTTTTTCCCACACGTCATTACTGAGCCTGGCACCTCCTCAGGAAGCAGGAAGACCCATTTGGAAGAGATAAAATTAGCTATAACCAGCTCTGACTACCAACCTTGAGACTGTGACCACGAGATGACCAACTGATGAACTTTAATGTCAGAAGGCCAAACCTTCCCTTCCACCTATAATGCCAACTCTGCCATTTTTTGTATATGCGACCCATGAAGAGACATGAGAAACCTTTAGAGCCTTAGCTGAATAATAGGATGGTTTGGAAGGGTTTTTCCCACACGTCATTACTGAGCCTGGCACCTCCCAAGGCTAAGATAATAGGAGGGCAAATTTGATGTTAAAACTCAAAGCTGGGAAGGAGCAAATGCTCTTTTTTGCATAATAAAGTTTAGGAGATACATTAGCAGAAGACAAACTATCACAGTGCAGAGAAGTGTGATTTATGTATTTGATGCATTCCAATCTAGAGGCTAGTCCACCGTGAGGGCTGCTTTCCCCACTCTCTAATCCAAGCATGTACAATTTCCTGTCCCCTCTTATCCAGCAGCAGAGCCCATGCTGAAGACCACATCCCACCAGGAGGACCTCAGCCAGGGGGTCAGGCAGAGGGCATGGGTTTACAGGGACTGTAAATTTGGGAAGGGAAAGTGAATGGGGGGGAAGAGGGGCTGGGGTACATCTCCCACCCCTGCATGTCAGGTGTAAATCCTGAGACACAGCAGAGCCTGCACCTAGGGTGCTTCAGGTGGCGAGTCCCAATTATCCTGGGACTCTGCACCTTTTAGCTCATGTCACTTGAGTCAAAGCAGAGAAAGAGTTGAGCAGTTTTCAATTGTGTGTGTGGTGGGAGAGGGGGGTATGAGTGTGCCTAGCTGAGGAAGAGAGGAGGACACCTTTCCCTCCCTCCAGTTACCATCAGACACTTGATTTTCTTTAGTCTGAAAGATGGAAAGGCGAAGAGAGCCCAGCATGGATCTGACTAGAATGTCCAATCCTTGTCTTCCAAGATAAGCAGCTCGGTGCCTAGGCTGCATTTTTCTTCTGCTATTTTTTGCACTGGAATTTATATAACCCGTGGTATGTTTTTAAACAGTGATATTTGTACTAGGTTAAATATGGCTGCAAAGTCTTTGCCACTCCTCCCATTGAGAGGTGGAGTCTCATGCTTGACCAATACAACATGATGGAAGTGGTGTTCTAGAACTTCTGAGGCTCAGTCTTAGAAAACCTATGGCTTCTGCTAGGTTTCACTCCTCCCATTGAGAGGTGGAGTCTCATGCTTGACCAATACAACATGATCGAAGTGGTGTTCTAGAACTTCTGAGGCTCAGTCTTAGAAAACCTATGGCTTCTGCTAGGTTTCTGTGAACAGTCTCTATGAGAGTTCACAGAAGAAGCCATATAAGAAGTCCAGTTACTCTGACATGCTAAGAGGTGACAAGCGCCATGTGGGCAATCTGCTCAACAGTCACAGCTGAGACCAGCCTTCCAGTCATCCTTGCCAAAGTGCCAGGGATGTGAGTGAAGCTGTCTTGGACTCTCTAGAACACCCTGTCCACCAGCTGAACAGATCAAGTTACCTCTGGGGATGCCACGTGGAACAGAAGAATCACCCAGCCACACCCATCCCAAATTCCTGACCCATGAAATAATGAGATAAATGAAATGATTGTTGTTTCAAGCAACTAACTTTTGGAGTAGTATAGAGGAAAGAACCTATTTTGGAGTTAGATCTGGACTCGAATTTTAGCTCCATTATCGATCAGCTATTTGATCTTTGCTAGCTACTGCCAACCTCAGTCTCCCCCATGGGAAGTAGAGGTAGTTCTATCTACATCTGGGCCTCATCATAAAGATGGAATGAGAAAACAGCGAGAAATCAGAGCCTGGCTCATGGCGTGTGCTCCATAGTGTTCCTTTCTCCCCCTCTCTGCCTCTCCACAGCCTCTTCTCTAGGGTTTTCTGGGGCTCCCGGAGTGGGGAACGCAGCAGGCTTCAGCACCCACCCCTGCTTCCCTCGGGACTTCCTGCCCTTCTCTCTCTCCTCCTGCCACTCTCTGCCACACCAGGTGAAACCCACCATTCAAAACCCGGGGGAAAAGCATAGGATTCCAAAGGTGTGCTCCTCAGAAAATGACTCTGGAACCCTGCTCTAGGAAAAAAAAAAATAGTTTCAACTGACTGGACTTTTAAAAAATGTGTTGACTTAAACCTGCACTGGAATTTATGTAACCGCTGATAGAACCCCTACCTCAATTTAATGCAGAACCAGGGAAGGAAATAAAAGGAAAAGGAGTTACACAAAAGAATTAGAAAAATAAATAAATAAATGAAAAGCTGCCTTGTAGTCCTCAGGCTATAATTTTTTATTTAAAAGCATCAGATGCAGGAAAATGAACAAGGGCTCCATGTGCCCACGGAGTTGGTGCAACTTTGCCACAACCAGACAAATCAGCGGCCTACAGACAAAGGCCTTTCTCCCTTGGCCAGTCATCTTGAAGCTTCCCTGGTGCCAGCAGGTGCCCATCTGAGCACCATGGTGGAGGGGACTGCTACAGTGGTGGCTTCAGAGAATAGTCCCAGAAATAGACATTTGAATGACTGAAGCCCCTGACCCACTCCTGTCTTCAAATCCTGCTCCATTTCTCACATTTACTTGGAACAATTAGCTGAAGTGGAAAATTCATGAACTCATGCCACCCTCCTCCTGTATGTGAGGCAGTGTCCTAATCTACACAGCAAGCCACAAAAATGGTCTTCCTTTCTTCCTTGCCTGCAGCAATTTTCACAAGCTTTACCGCCAAGGAGCTCATTTCTCAGCCGGCCTTTGAGCCATGACTCGCCACTCTGCCCTTATTCTCATCCTTGATGTGCTCTCATTCCAGACCTGTGAGACGACTGCACGGCCCGCCTGTCTGTTAGGCCCTGACCTGAGATATGGATGCCTGCTCCTTGTACGAATTAGGCTGGATCCTTTGGGAGTGAAACTCCCTAATAAGGCAGGGTCCATGTCTAGGAAATTCCAAACACTTGGACCTTAGACACACCTGGATCATTTCGTGGCCAGATAAACGACTGTGGCTGGTATATGTATGTGTTATGTTTATAAAGCACCTTTGAAGTTAGGTTTATAAAACACCTTTACAGATCAGGTTTATTTAAGCCTCACAATTCTCTAACAAGGTAGGAGTTAACCCCATTTTATGAAGGGAAAACTGAGGTTTGGAAAAATTATGCCCAACATCACAGAGCAACTGAGGGACAGAGCTAGACTTCAAGTCCATGTTGTCTGGTTCCAAACTCTATGCACGCCCACCATGTCATTCTTTCTGATTATGATTGACATGTGAGATGAACTTTTCTTGTCCCTATGTTGGATTTTTAAGTAGGCGGGCAGGATCTTTTCCTACTCAAGCACCCAGAATTTTGTCTGGAGAATTCACTTCAGGGCACTGAAGTTACACAGATTGTTGTCAAGGCAGCTGTCCCCCCATTCCAACTGATTTGCCATGTATTATTTAAAGGATATTAAAAGTTACCATTTACGGAGCTCATTCTAGGTGCGAGGCCCTGTGCTACTCCCTTTGCATACATTATCCCATTTAATCTTCACCATTCCAACCGATTTGCCATGTATTATTTAAAGGATATTAAAAGTTACCATTTATGGGGCTCATTCTAGGTGCGAGGCCCTGTGCTACTCCCTTTGCATACATTATCCCATTTAATCTTCATACCCGCTCTCTAAAATAGGTATTATTCTTCCCATCTTGCAGATCAGTAAACTGAGGCTCAAGAGGTCAAATAGCTAGAGCATTGTGCAGCTGGGATTCAAGCCTGGTACTCAACCTAAGTCATGGGCCGCTTGCACTCTCCTTGCCCACCTCTGTCCCACAGCTCTGGGCCCCTGATCTGCCTGTCAAGGGAGCCAGAAGATCTGGGCCTTTTAGCTTCTGACTCAACCTAAGTCATGGGCCGCTTGCACTCTCCTTGCCCATCTTTGTCCTGCAGCTCTGGGCCCCTGATCTGCCTGTCAAGGGAGCCAGAAGATCTGGGCCTTTTAGCTTCTGTCCTAGGACACTGGTATCATCCCCCTCTGTGGGTGCTCCAGGGGGGATCCCCCAGGGAGAACAGATTCTGATGCGAGATGGGGGGAGGAATACAATGCTGGACAGGTCCCAGATGGGTTTGTTCACTGCACAACTCCTAAGGAAGTTTTCATAGAAGGCCCCTCAGGAAGGAGTCCGGGTCAGCCCCATTCCCCCCTTCCAGGCACAGCATGCCACCAGGAGCTGTTGCTCATTAGGGCTACAGGGAGGCCCACAGGGTCTTTCCTCCAAGATCTATTAGTACAAGATGTTTGTGAAGTTTTTGTGTTTATCATCTTCTAAGGAATCTGAACTCCTGTTTTCCCAAAACTCCCGCTTCTCCTCACCTCAGCATGTCTGTAGGAGCCAAGAAACCCAGTTTGTCCCCTTGGAGAGGTTAATATAACAGCATGAAAATGAAAAGTCTTTATCTCTAACTCAGGACTAGATCACCAAGATGACAAGTTTGTAACAAAGTCTTAGGTGACTAGTGCCAGGCACCCCCTAAGTGGTCCCCTCAACTAAGCAGGAAGTCTGAAGTGGTTTCTCCAGGATGGGCATCAAGCTTTGTCCATTTTCCATCACAGGCTTGAGTGGGAAATCTGCAGCAGACTCTTGATTTGGATAAGGAAATTCTTTATTTAGCTAGGATATCTTGAAGCAAACTGGTTCCCAAGAGCAGGTTTTCTATGACCCAGATCCTATCCATGGTGATTTCTAAGCAAGAAGATCAGCATGGCAATAATTAGTCCAATAACAAATAAATCCCAGTATGGTCCAAGGGTGTTGTCCAGTTTCATCCATTTCCATCTCATTGTAAACTGCTGGCAAGAGACAGTCAGTCAAAAAAATCCAAGCCTCCCACTCCACTCGAAACCATCAACTCCACCGACCCTCCCCGCACCATTTGCCTTGCTTCCTTCAGTCTTAGAAGACATGATCTTTGCTAGCTTACAGCTCTCACAGGGGGCTTAACTAGCACCTTTGGAATAACCCCAAGATTTATGACATTTAATTTCTACTTTCTTCAAACTGCAGCTGTTTTCGGTACCACTTGCCACCTGCCATCTGCTTACCAGTCTCACATATTGATGGCAAAAACTATGTTTTGAACAAGTATATATAGTACATGTCACTTAGCTTAAGGCTTTGAACATAGTATGTGCTGAAAAGAATATCTGCCGAATGAGCTCATTGGTTGTACTAGGAAGTATCAACACATACTCAATATAACAAGCAGAATTGCTCTGTATGGTGAGTACTGTAGAAGACTGAATTCCACTTATGAAAAGAAAGCCGGTTCATAAAAGACTCCCCTGGCGGTCCTCATCACTTTGTCCCTAAGAGTTGCTCATTGGAATTTTCAGATATTTGGGACCTATTTGAGGCAAACTTACATTAAAAAACAGTATATCCCGGAGGAAATGCATAGTTTCCAGTTTCATGAGGGCCAAGAATACAGGTATGTGGGCATCTGGACTTGTCTGAGCAGCCATGTCATATAATCTTCTGGCCAGGTGAATGTCCTAGAAATAGAACAGCCCATACTCATTAGGTGCAGATTCTTTAGGGGTTAAGGAAACAGAAACCATTGTTTGAAATATTATAATTTGTATTTGGTAGGCAGAATGGCCCCCCAAAGACGTTCCTGCTGTCATCCCTGGAACCTGTGAATGTGCCTTGTTCTATGGCAAAGGGGACTTTGCAAATGTAATTAAGATTACAGACCTTGAGACAGAGTATCTTGGATTACCCAGGCAGACCCCATATAATTATATGAGCCTTTAAACACAGGGTTATCTCAGGGCTGAGGGCAGAAGAAAGATAGATAGATGTGGTGGAAGGAGCAGTCAGCAAAATTCTAAGCATGAGAGGGACTCAATTCACCATTGCTAGAGGGGGGCCACATAGAGAGAATGAGAAAGAATTCGGACAGCTAGCAAGGAAATGGGGACCACGGTCCCACAGACTCAGGGAACTGAATTCAGCTAACAACCCAAATGAGCTTGGAAGTGAATTCTTCCCTAAAGCCTCCAGTAAAGAACACGGCCTTGATTTTAGGCTTGTGAGTCTGTATGCAGAGGAGCCAGACAAGTCATCTGGACTTTTGTCCTATGGAAACTGTGAGATAGTAAATTTGTGTTGTTTTAAGCCACTGAATTTGTGGTTATTTGTTATGGCAGCCACAGAAAACCAATACAATCTCCAAAAAGCTTTCTTGGATACCCCTGGACTAGCCCCTAGTTGTGATTGTAATGAAAGGGGCAGAGAACAGCAGATACTAACAGTGCAGTTCCCTAAAACAAATAAAAATACAGTAAGTAATAATCATTTAAAATTTATAATTATCTTTATAGTACTCATCATACCTGAAGCTGAGGAATTGGTTTATTTATTTGACTGTCTCCAGGTCCTTGAAGACATAAATTTGAACTATCTGTCTTGGACTATCCCGGTGCCTAATAAAGTGCCTAGTACATGGCAGGTCTTTGATAACACTTATAGAATGAAAGAATAAATTATTTTGGCTCTCAGGTTGCAATTTGATTCCTCAAATAATAAATTACTTTATTTTAAGGGACTTTTTTTTTCCATTAAACTATGTCATCGCAGGGCCGGCCCGGTGGCGCACTGCGCTAGTGCGCCGCTTGGGAAGCGCGGCAGCGCTCCCGCCGAGAGTTCGGATCCCACATACAGACCGGTTCCCGCTCACTGGCTGAGCGAGGCGCGGGGGCAACGCCGAGGGTTGTGATCCCGTTGCCGGTCCCGGTACGGGGGCAACACTGAGGGTTGCGATCCGTTGCCGGACACGGAAAAAGACAAAAAAAAAAAAAAAACTATGTCATCGCAGATAAATAAAATTTATTTTTTATCTACTTATAGCTTGTTTTATTTGTTTTACTTTTGTTTTGTTTGCCCAAACAGAGTAATAAAAAAAAGGCTAAAGAGCTTTGCTTTTTAAGATTGAAGTGTCCTGGGCAGGTCCCAGAATTTTATTTTGCTTGAGTGCCCATCTCATATGTTCAAAAGAAAGGGAAGAAGAGAGTTTTTTTTTTTTTTTAACAAATTGTGGTCATCTAAGTATCTTTCCTGCTCCATCACTTAGGCTTCAATAGTTGTGAATCCTTGAGGCCTTTACTAAACCTATTTCTTGGGTGGTGTCTTCTCTCAGCTGTGTTCTACTTGTCATTTCTTAAGTTTTTCCAGAGCTTTGTAGTCTGGTAAATTGATTTGTTGGAGAAAGAGGAATGTTCTTGCTTAAAATACTTAAAATTCTGGAGATTGCTTAGAACAAATTTTCCTGACAACAGAAAATAGATGTTGTAAAAACTCTAAGTTGTGTCTCTTAATTCCAACAAATTTGGTGGGTGTTGGTTTGAAAGCACCCTGCACTGTTATAACTGCCATGTCAACCCCACATGTGATATGCATGTAAACTTGAACAGGACATTCAGGGAGAGGCAGGCTTTGTTATTATCCCAGACATTCATTCTTGTTTGAGGCAGGCAATAGTTATTATTTCTTGAGATACAAGCATCACAATGCAGTCACTTAGTTTATAATAAAAAACAGAAGGCCAGCCCCATGGCTCACTCGGGAGAGTGTGGTGCTGGTAGCGCCAAGGCCGCGGGTTCGGATCCTATATAGGGATGGCCGGTGAGCTCACTGGCTGAGCGTGGTGTGGATAACACCGTGCCGAGGGTTGCGGTCCCCTTACCGGTCAAAAACAAAACAAACAAAACAACAACAACAAAACAGTGAGAAATACCACTAAAATGAGACGAGCTCACCCTTGCCCAGGAGATCTCATGATTTGCAGTGGTATGAAGTGGGATATGAAAGTTTTCCTTTACAATTCCTAGAGAAAGAAATTCTTGAATGCTTCTGGCTGATTAGGGCAACTCAGGGTCCATTAGGGCCATTTGGTGATGGCCAGGGTTCGTTAAATGAGAAGTCCATTGTATACTTAATCCACTTAGATTTCATTTTTTGGTGGCACATTTGTATTTATTTTGCTTTAAATTCAGTGATTTAGGTGGTTATACAAACCAATCTGCAGCCTCTTCTTAAATAATGCGTTTCTAACTAAAATGTCAGGTGTGCTGGAATACTGCCCAATATTCAGATGTTCAAAATAGCTTCTTTTAATTCAAAAATACAGATTTTTCCAGCAATAAAGAACATGGCTTAAGAAAATTGTTCAATTACACAATGCAGGAGTTTCTCAGCCTCAAATCTTTGGCTGTCACGAAAAATCTCTTATTCTGAGACAGACCTTGTGAATGGGATGGTAGTTTTTGAATAATTTGTTCTTGTTTTCTTATTATAAATATACCATATATTAATTAGGGGAAACTTCAAAACAGCTTAGAAAACAAGCCACCCACAATCTCACTATACAAAGATAACTACTGACAATATTTTATACACATTCTTCCAGCATTTTTATATATTTTTTTATATATGTACTTTTAATTTAGGAAATTTTTTACTCCGCATAAAACTTTGTATTCTGCTTTCTTAACCTAACAATATATCTCAAACAATATGCCATGTCCTAAGATATTCCTCTAGGCTATAATATGACTAGTACTTATTAAATGTGTGCCAGTCACCACTGTCATTTACTCCTCATGACAATTCTAGAGGACAGAATTGTCCTCTAGACAATTAACTCCATTTTGAAGATGAAAATACTGAGGCACAGAGAGAGCCACTTACCCAAATTCATATCAGTCGTAAGTGGCAGAGCCAGGATTCAAATCCAGATCATCCGTTTCTAGCCCACTCACTTAACCACTAGGCCATAAAATGCATATTGGAACAGTGCACTACCACACAATAATATGTAGAACATGGCTTCTATTATGGAACATTTCGATTGTTTGTAGAGTTTTTGGTTTTGGGGTACAGTAATAAATAAAGCTATATACACATGAAATATTGTTTTGCATACTTCTGACAATTTCACTAGGTGACAAATGTTTATTTCATAAAAGGTTATGACCATTTCTAAGAAGAGTGTGTTCTGTTCAAGCATATTTCTGAGAGGGCCACTTAAATACCTAACTTTAACTTATCCTCTTCAGAAGATTATTCTATTCTGGTGTTTAAAGCTTTTGCTTTAACACTCCATAGATGGTCAGACCAGACAAATGAGAAATAAAAATGTATTGTTTCATAATTACTTTTATTTTTATTTATTTTTTATTTTTATTTTTTTCCTTTTTGTCTTTTTTCATGTCCAGCAACGGATTGCAACCCTCAGTGTCGCGCCCGTACCGGACCGGGACC